CAACTCCCTCTCAATCACAATATTTTTCCCTTTGTACTTCATGGATGAGGAATAAGGAATTGAGAGAATTGGGGGAAATAAAGGACGATGAAAACATTTGGTGGGAAGATGCTGGGTTGGGTTTTGGACATGTTAAGTTTGAGATCCCTTGGAGGCATCCAGTTAGAGATGTCAAGTAGTCAATGTTATGTAGGATAAGTATCTGCAGTTCGGAAGAAAAGGCTGGGTTGGAAATTTAAATTTGGAAATCTTTAATGTACGGTGGTGGAAACCATGGGAGTAGATGGAATCACCTTGAGAGTGTATGTAGAATGGGAAAGAAGGAAACCAAGGACTAATTTTGGGATCCAACACCACTGAAGAGATGAGAGGGAGGATGGGGTCTGCAAAGGGGATGGAAAAGAGTTGGAAAGAAGAAAAGAGCCAGAAGAGGGCCGTGGAATTCAGATGAGGAAGGGGTTTTAAGAGAGAAACTGGTCAACGGTGGCATGCTTCAGACAGCTCAAGAAAGACAAATTTTGGGGCTTGGCAATTAGGAGACCACACTGATTTCTTGGCGAGAGCAGTTTCAGTGAACTGATGTGTCAGAAGTCTAACTTGCCATAGGGATAAGGAGGTAGAGGAAGGAAGTGTGAACTATTCTTCTTTTATTCTTTTGCTTGAGGAAGATTAGCCCTGAGCTAACATCTGTGCCAATCTTCCTCTATTTTGTATGTGGGTTGCTGCCACAGCATGGCTGATGAGTGGTGTAGGTCTGAGCCTGGGATCCAAGCCTGCAAACCTGGGCCACCAAAGCAGAATGTGCTGAACATAACCACTATACCACAGAGCCGGCCCCTGACTATTCTTATGAAGATGTTGACTACAAAGGGATAGAGAAAGAAGGTGTGCTACCTAGAGAAGGGTGCGGGATTGAGGAAAACTTTTTGTTTATTATGATGAGAGAAACTAGTAGATAAAATAGGCTGTAGCAAAGAAAATAATATAGAGGGAGAGACTAAAAATTCATGAGAGAGAAGGGTTAACTGATGGAGCAAGGTACAATCCTGGAAAAGAAAGAGCCCCGTTGTAGGAATTGGTCTCAAACCTAGAGAAGAGACACTTCTTCCTCCAAAGCTGAAGGGAAAGAGATTTTGCAGATAGAGTTAATTTGTAGGTGAGATGCTAGGAAGTTGAGGGAGCTCTTCATGCCTGATAGCCTACATTTCTCTATGCAATAAAAGCCAAGTTGTTATTTGCTGGAAGGAGAGGAGACTTCCTGGAGTGAGGAGGGGTTTTGAAAAGAATGGTAAGATTGGAAATAGAAAAGAGAGCTGATATGCTGAAAACTATAAGACACTGATAAAAGAAATTGAAGAACACACAAATAAATGGAAAGATATTCCATGCTCATGGATTGGAAGAATTAATACTGTTAAAATGTCCATACTACCCAGAGCAATCTACAGAGTCAATGCAATCCCTATGAAAATTCCAATGGCATTTTTCACAGAACTAGAACAAACAATTCTAAAATTTGTATGGAACCACAAAAGACTCCAAATAGCCAAAGCAATCTGGAGAAAGAAAAGCTGGAGGCATCATGCTTCCTGATTTCAAACTATATTACAAAGCTATAGTAATCAAAACAGTATGGTATTGGCATAAAAACAGATATATAGATCAATGGAACAGAATCGAGATCCCAGAAATAAACCCACACATATATGGTCAATAATTTACGACAAAGGAGCCAAGAATATACAATGGAAGAAAGGACAGTCTCTTCAATAAATGAGTTTGGGAAAATCAGACAGCAACATGCAAAAGAATGAAACTGGACCACTAACACCATACACAAAAATTAACTCACAATGGATTAAAGACTTGAATGTAAGACCTGAAACCATAAAACTCCTAGAAGAAAATAGAGGCGGTAAGCTCCTTGACATCCATCTTGGTGATGATTTTTTGGATTTGACACCAAAAGCAAAGGCAACAAAAGCAAAAATAAACAAATGAGACTACATCAAACTAAAAAGCTTCTGCATGGCAAAGGAAACCATCAACAAAACAAAAAGACAACCTACTGAATGGGAGAAAATATTTGAAACCACGTATCTGATAAAGGATTAATGTCCAAAATATATAAAGATCTCATACAACTCAATAGCAAAAAAACAAACAATCCAATTAAAAAATGAGTAGAGAGGGGCTGGCCTGGTGGCACAAGTGGTTAAGTATGCACGCTCCGCTGCAGCGGCCGGGGGTTCGCCGGTTTGGATCCCGGGCGTGCACCAATGCACTGCTTGGCAGGCCATGCTGTGGCGGTTTCCCATATAAAAAAGTGGAGGAAGATGGGCACGGATGTTAGCCCAGGGCCAGTCTTCCTCAGCGAAAAAAAAAAGAGGAGGATTGGCAGATGTTAGCACAGGGCTGATCTCCTCACCAAAAAAAAAAGAAAAATGAGTAGAGCATCTGAATAGACATTTTTCCAAAGACATAGAGATGGCTAATAGGTGCATGAAGAGATGCTCAACATCACTAATCGTCAGCGAAATGCAAATCAAAACTACAGGAGCTATCACCTCATACCTGTTAGAATGGCTGTTATCAAAAAGACAAGAAATAACAAGTGTGGGTGAAGATGTGGAGAAAAGGGAACCCTTGTGCACTGTTGGTGAGAATGTAAATTGGTGCAGCCACTATGAAAAACAGTATGAGATTCCTCAAAAAATTAAAAATAGAACTATCATATGATCCAGCAATTCCCCTTCTGGGTATTTACCTGAAGCAAAGTAACTCAAAGAGATATATGTACCCCCATGTTCACTGCAGCATTATTTACAATAGCCAAGATATGGAAAGAACCTAAGTGTCCACTGATGGACAAATGGATGAAGAAATTGTGGTATCTATACACAATGGCATATTATTCGGCCATAAAAAAGAATGAAATCTTGCCATTTGCTACAATATGGATGGACCTCGAGGGCATTATGCTGAGTGAAATAAGTAAGACTGAGAAAGATAAATACCATATGATCTCACTTATATGTGGAATCTTAAAAAACAAAAAACAAAAAACAAAAAGCACCAAGCTCATAGATACAGAGAACAGATTGGTGTTTGCCAGAGGTGGCAGGTGGAGGGTGGGTGAAATGGGTGAAGGGAGTGAAAAGGTACAAACTTCCACTTATAAAATAAATAAGTCATAGGGATGTAATGTACAGCATGGCAACTATAGTTAATAATTGCATATTTGAAAGTTGCAAAGAGAATAAATCTTAAAAATTCTCATCACAGAGAAAAAACTTCTGCAACTATGTATAGTAACGGATGTTAACTAGACTTACTGTGATCATTTCATAATACATACAAATAGCAAATCACTATATTGTACACCGAAATTATAATGTTGTATGTCAATTATACCTCAGTTAAAAAAAAGAAAAACGAAAGCTGACTAAAAGAAGCACGTGGATAGATGCCACGATGGCACTGGGAGTTAATTATGTGTTTATAGGGGTATCAATTCACATGGTGGTGGCACTTACCCAGAGGTAGGGCACAAAAGGCTGATGGGTTAATCTAAGGTTATTGGTTTTGTAGGGCAGTCAGGTCCTGAAGAGGGAATGAACACGGGTAGATATTCCCTAGAGAGATGTTTAAATGAACACATAGGGTCTTGGTAGGACAGGGGAGAAAATATAGTCAAGTGATTAGATACCTGAGAGAAAAGGATGGGAGGGCAAGGGACTTTCACTCTTAAGGAAATAGAAAAGAACATAAACCAGGTTTTGGGAGAGAGATGGAAGGATGGAATCTAGTGATCAAAGATGATATATTGGAGTTAAAACTTGGCTGGTAGAAGAGTTCTGGGTACTAGCAAAACTCCTCCACAGAGTATTTGCACTTGGCTGTTTTTTCTTCCTTGCTGCCCATTCTCCCCTCACCTCACTCAGGACCAAGCCTTTTCCTCACCCATTTCTGAAACAAGGATACCTTTGAAGAGTTTTAAAGGGAGGACTGACATGATCTGATATAAAATGTTCAGAGCAGCATGAGACATGAAATAAAGCTCATAGCGGCACTGTTGGTGATAGTACAACACTGGGAAATAATTAAATATTCATCAACAGTGGCATGGAAAATATTCCATTCAAAGTCCAAAAATAGCTAATATTAAACTGCATTGCTCAGGGATGTACACATGGGCAGTTAAGCTAGGCAAACAAGGAAATGACTGTCAGAAAAGTGAGGATAGTGGTGATCTCTGGGAGAAGGGAGGTTGTCTTCATCAGGGAAGAGACCTTGGGGAGCATGGGAGCTGGCAATGTTCTATTTCTTGATTGAGTGGTGGTTACATGGGTAACTCCTTTATAATTATTCTTCAATTTGTATATATATGGTTTTGTACTTTTCTGTATCATATATGCCAACCAAAAAGAAAACATGCGTGAAATGATACACACCATTTTTAGGAGGTGGGGAATGAGATTAGGGAGTATGTGCAGATACAATTGTTTGTAATATTGTATTTCATGAGCTGGGAGGTGAGTACATGGGTTTTCATTTACTATTACTTATAATTGTTTATATGTCTGAAACATTTAAATCAAAATTAAAACTAAAAGAAGGTAATGTGGAAAAGAAGATGGATGCTTTTGTTTCTGTTTTCATTTCCTTTATTGTTGTTCAAGTATTCATTCAATACATTAGAATTGGGAGAGAAAATTCAGGAGTTGAATCAGAACTTTGGAGATCTGTCAGCATTCAAAAGTTCTTTTCTTTGGGGAAGCATGGAAAATAGAATCCAGTTTGCTAACCTCAAGGCTTGATGCCTGGCGGACTATTTGATTGACTCTTGGAGAAGTAATCCCAGAGCTATAACTGCCTGAGTGCTGACAGCAGCCCCCACCTCTGCGTGGGCGTGTACTACCATTCCTCCCTCAAAGCCATCTGACCCCTCCCTGCAGCCCCACGTGAACTGGCCTGGAAGTCATTCCGCTAGGGGGGAGGACAGCTGCTGCCAGCAAACTGCCCCACTTTCCCAGAAAGCCTGCTCCAACCCTTTCCTACTCTCAGCAAATCTTCAGTTCAAGCTGCTGACCGTCTATGTCGCCCCATGTAAACAGAACTAACGGGGAAACTACCTTCTCAAAGGCGACCACCGGCAGAAATGGAAGATGAAAACGCCAATACATTCAGCAACATAGAACTGATTGCACATGCATTTTCTTACCTCCTGAGCCTCTAGGGCTCCCCTCCCATTATCTTCATACAGCCTTGCTTTAAGGTGTTGGAACAAATGTCTCCCTGATAGCCCCTTAGTGCCCTGCTTTTCTCACATGGATTCCTAGGGGAGAGGGCATCTGGCAGAGTGGATCAAGGGAAGGAACCTGGTCCAGGTAACTCCTTGTTGAGTTACTTAATGAACCAACCCAGGATCTACTCAAACTTCTTGTTACCTACGATAATAAAATTCTGTTATTATTTAAAGCACTTTTGGTACGGTTTCTGTTACAGCTGAAACACCCTAATTGTCGTGAGGATGGAAAGAGAGAATTTTGTGATAGATATTGTTGAGAAAGGCTGGAGCAGGTAGTGATAGACAAGAGGCCTCAGGGTACCTTCTTTAGGGCAGTGCTACTCAAAGTGTGGTTCGTGGACCTGCAGCATCAGAATTACCTGGGAGTTTGTTAGGAATGCAAATTCAAGGGCTTCACCTCAGACTGACCAAATCGGATTCTCTGGTGGTGGGACCCATGGGCATCTGTATTTTAACAAGGTCCCCCTCCGGTGATTTTGATGCAACTAAGGTTGGAGAACACACTGACCTAGGAGACTCCTACCGCTGGGAGTGGGATTGGTCCAACAGAGGAAGTGTTGTGCCTCTAGCTCATTGCTGACCTCCCTGAAACTGTTCTAATCCTCTAGGCCTCAGTTTCCTTTTCTGTCACAACAGTGTGAGTATCAAATGAGGAATGGGTATAAAAATGGTTTAAAGAGCTAAAACCTTGATCCCTAGGAGAGGCCCTGCACTGACCCAGCCCCTAGCCAGCTACACAGCAACCAAGGCTGCAGACAGATGCGTTGGATCGGGCTGGACTCCGCCTCGCCAGCCTGGGAGCTTCTTTGGATGGGGCCTGTCTCCATTTGTGTGTCCAGGTACCCAGCGGAGGAACTGGCACGGACAGGGCGGAGAGTCACCATCATTCTTAATTGAACTCAATTACCCCTATTTTGAGTTTTCGTTTTCGGATTCCTGGTTGAGTCAATCGGGAAGGGCTGGAAACCCAGTCCTGGTGGGTTTTTGGCTTAAGGAGGGTCAGCACTCCTCTCTTACGACCTCCGTGACCTCAGCCATCCTCCGCCACATCCTCAGGCGTCTCCCCGCCACCTCCTCAGGCGTCTCCCCGCCACCTCCATTGAGGTGACCTTCCCCCCACCCCCGCGATTTCCCTGGCCCTCCACGCCCAAGGAGGCACAAGACCCGTTGCCCTGGAGACATACGAACGACTAAGTCGCGAGCCTTCCCTCCTCTCAAGTCACTAGGCGTCGACCCCGATGCCGGAGCCACCCTCACAGCCAACGAGGAGGCCAGCTTAGAGACGGCGGCCGCGCGCCCCCGCCCTGCGCGCCGGACGAGCGTTCGCGGGTGGAGAGGGCGCGCCGCTGGCCAGAGAGCCAATCAGAGCAGGGCAGGCAAGCAGGCCCGGCTCCCAGTGGCCACTCAGGTGCAGGCTGAACGCGCCGCCTGCTCTAGGACTGGGCGAGCTTCCTGCCAATCAGGGGCGGGGCAAGCGGGGGCTCGGCCAATAGCGGGAGGCGGCCGGGTCAGGTCGGTGGCCCTGGGGTCCGCGCGGGGGTCCGCGCGCCAGTCGGCTAAGGGAGCGACCGCCCCCCGCCCTGCGCGCACTCGCTCTCGGCCCCTCCGGCCCCGCCTGTCGGCCGCGCCGCGTCATGCCAGGCGCTGCTCGGTGCTAGTGCCCGGGCCGCCGCCCGCCTGCCCGAAGCCGCGCCCACTGCCCAGAGCCAGAGGGATGGTGGTAGTCACGGGGCGGGAGCCAGACAGCCGTCGCCCGGACGGTGCCATGTCCAGCTCCGACGCCGAAGACGACTTTCTGGAGCCCGCCACCCCGACGGCCACGCAGGCGGGGCACGCGCTGCCCCTGCTGCCCCAGGAGGTACCTAGAAGGGTGGGGGGAGTGGGAAGGGGCGCAGAGGGAGACGCAGGTGCGGGGCTCAGCTGACGTTGGGATGTGAGCAGCGCTGGGGTTGGGCATCCGGGATCGGGCTGAGGGCGGCGCCGGAGGAGCTGTGCTCCCCTGCCCACCCACCCCTCCGTAAAACCCACCAGGTGTGTCTCCCCTGCCCCAGGGGCACCTGGCCCCCCACCCTCCTCTTTCCAGTACTCACTGCTTGCAAGGCTGATTTATTCCAATCCCTGTGTTCCACCCTTACCAACCAGAGGAGGGAGGGTAGGCCGTGGGAAGGGGACCTTGGAGCCCCAAGAGGTGATAGTGTCTTCTAGAAAATCCAAGAGGAGGCCTTGGTGGTTGCCCAAACCCAATCTCCAACTGCTCAGAGAGTGGAGTAAGGGGCTGTGCGCAGATAAGAAGCAGGCCAATTAATGGATGTTGTCCACACTCACCTGACAACTCTATGGCTTTCTCTCACTAGCTGCTGTCCTGTGATGCCCGGTGGCTTCTACTGGTCTTAATGTGTATGACACTACCATAGTAACACCTGAAATGACCCTCAAGAGAAGGGAAAAGAGGAGGGAAGGTGGGGCACTGCTGGGCACTGAAGATGGAAACTGGGAGGAAGGGACTAAGGTAGTGCCGGATATGCATGTGTGTGTGGAGTCCTAGGAGAGTGGACAGAGCCCAGAGGAGCAGCACTGGGCTAGAGGAGGCTCTTGGGAAGCAGATAGTGTCCTCTTGGGCTTGGAAGCCCATACCCCCCACATCATGGGACGCTTGAGAAAATGAGCAAAACTCTAGAAGTGCTCTTTGCAGCTGGAAAAAGATTGCTATCAGAGACACAGCGGTGCATTTTTCCTCTCTGCCTCAGTCTTTTCATCTCTAATATGGAGCAGATACTTGCACTGGTATGAGATATCCTTGGAAAAGGTTTAAAGAGCTCCAGAAATGTAAAGTATTATCCCCAAATAATATTTGAGTCCTTGGTATGCACACAGAATAGTTTCAGAGGAGCTATAGAATAAGCAGAAGGCATTCCTGTTCTTTGGGTGCAGAAGAGTAACGGTACATACATGCACAGAATTGGAAACACCTGTCTATTTCATTCATTCGTTCAGTGCATATTTGGGTCTTTACTGTGAGCCAGGCACTGTACTAGGCCCTGGGTAACTTTGATTTAATCTGTTTGTATCCTACATTATTTCACAAAGGATTTGAAAGTTGGGGCAAAGGACTGTCTAGATAAATATACATAGACTTTTCACTGGAGCCAGAGAGATGTCGTAATATTGAAAAGTATGCACTGGGATAAAATTTTAGTTAATCTGGAGGAAGTTTGTGGGAAAATCAGAACTGGCTTTGTTTCTTTCAAAACTACAAGCAGTGAAAGATAGTCAAAGAAAATGGTCCTGAGCATTTTAGGGAGAACCTAGAGCTTCTCGGGGCAAATGTATACCATCGTTCCTTGTCTTGCGCCCTGCCCTTGCCTCCAGAACCCTAGCTGGACTGGGAACTAATCTTCTCACTCTACAGATTAGGAAGGAGAGAAGTGGTAAGGTACAGAAAATGAGGAGTAATGCCTGGAATTATTCAATAAACATCTACGAGCCTTGCTGTGGGTGGCCTCTTGATTGATGAACAGGTTGCTGTCCCTGCCTCAGGAAGCTTGGGGTCTAGTAGGGTGGGCCAACAGAAGAAAATAATTGCCAATGTATTCTGCTAGACACTATCAGAGAGTGTGGCACACAGTGAAGGTCCAATGGAGGGAGTGTTTAGTTAACTCTGTCTTGGGGACAGGCGAGAGACAATAGAGCAGAAATGCTCTCAGAGTAGAGAACCTGGAATGGAAGCTTTTAGAATGCATGGATGCTGCTAACCTATGTGGTGCCTTGGTGTGCGTTAGAAAAAGGGCACACAGCTGGACTAGCAGATCACTCTCATCCAGGTGCCCTTGTGCAGTGAACAACATGCACCACCATATGGGGCAATCGAATTTGCTAGGTGGACAGAGGGAGCGTGGTAAGAGCATTTTGGAAAGAGAAGATAGTGTGAGCAAGGACACCAAAATGGTAAATTCAGGAAGTGGAAGGAGGACAATGAAGGCTTTGAACTCGAGAGCAGAAATAGTAGGATTGGGGTGGAGAGACCTGATTTAAGAGCTGTCAGAGGGAAGATGGAAGGACTTGGCAATTGATGAGTGTGGGGAAAGGGAGGAGAGAAAACAGTGTTCAGCGAGACTCCTGGGTTTTGGCCTCGGGTGCCTGAGTAAATGGAGCGGCGCTACTCAGACCCAAGAATACTGCAGATGGAGCAGCCCCGGCTCTCATTCCCCAATGCCCGGCTGAAAGTGCCCCTTGGTTCCTTTCCAGTTTCCCGAGGTTGTCCCCCTTAACATTGGAGGGGCTCACTTCACCACACGCCTGTCCACCCTGCGGCGCTATGAAGACACCATGCTGGCGGCCATGTTCAGCGGGCGGCATTACATCCCCACCGACGCTGAGGGCCGGTACTTCATTGATCGGGATGGCACGCACTTCGGGTATGTTTCTCCCTCTACCATCAACTTTGTAGTCCTGGCAAGTGAGTGGCCTGGGCTTGGGTATGCGGCTTTGATATCTTCCATAGTACCTAGAAGAGGAGATATCACTGATGGAATTTAATAAATGTGCTTGTTGAATTGGATCAAAATTCTTAGTTTCTTTTCCAGAGGAGACAAGGACAGCCAGAGAAATCCCAGGTGACACACACTGGGTGGAGTGATGAAACTGCTCGTATCATACGCAATTTAAGGCTGGGGAGTTGTCATCTGTGTGAAAGGAATGGATGTGATCACACCTAGAGGCGGGAGTTCCCCAAGAACTCAGAGAGTACCCTCAGATCCAGATTCGGGGCTCGACATTGCTGTTAGGGAGGAAGCATGGTTCCAGAGGTGGTTCCCAGACTTCTTTCAAAAGTTTCAAACAAACAAACAAAAAAGGGTGAGGGAAGGGCCAACATAAGGTTGCCATCCTTTAATTTTGCCAAAAAACGTTTTAAAAAAACCCAACTTTTACTTGTTACTGCCATTTTAACACTAAAACATGGAAAGACACAATCTCCAAAAAAAGATAGCCCTTCCCAAGAAAGGACGTCTGACATTCTTACACGTAAACAATTTAAAGACTAGATTCCCATCTCCTTGTTTGTGAAATGAGAAATAATTATAGCTGCTTCGCAGGCCTGTTATGCAGATTGAATAAAGAGCCTTGATGTTACCCTTGGCCAAGTCCTTTCAGTGCATGTGGCTGGAGCTCTTTGCCCCTTCAGTCTCACTTTGGAGATGACTAGAGAACTAACATGGTCCTTGACCTGGAACAAAATGACCAGGGAGGCAGAAACTCGCCAACCACCATACCTCTGTGCTGGCCTTCAAGTAGGATTGCCCACACTGGGAGAAGGGTCATTTTTATCCTCAGAAAGGAGTCTCTGGTCAAATAATTTGCTTTGAAGCATCTGGATTTCCCCATTGGGCTGTCAGCTGCCTCCAATGCTGAGAAAACAAAGTGTCACATCGCTCTGCAGAGCTATAAAAAGATTTTTGTTTGCAGGCTGTTTGGGGGAGGAAAGTCCTAGCCCCAGCTGGCAGCTCCCACAGGGCTCTTAGCTGGGCCTTGCCCTGAGGTTGTGTTTTTCAGAGCTCTCCAAGGTTTGCTTAAGATCCTAGAGGACTAATTTTGGGAAGGGTTATGGGGAGGGGGAACAGGATTTGGCTCTAGGCTGATGTGCCCATGCCCAGGTGGCTACAGCTGGAGAGTGGCAGAGCCAGGCAAAGATGTGGCAGAAAGCGGGATATCATGGCCTTTATCCTCAGGGCTGGACTCCAGTGGCCTGTGAGTCATCATCAGCAGATGAAGTTGTTGAAAGACTCAAAATAAAATATGGGTTTTGCACATTTGGTGGGGTACGTTTCTCTGCTGGTGTAGCTCATGTACCCCCAGCACCTACCAGGGAGGCTGCTTGGGCCTCCACCTGGGGCGGTTTCTCATTGTGATCAGTGTACAGTGCTTTGGACTAAAGTCTGAACCACTGTGGGTCTGGGCTTGGAGTCAACCATGTCTGCGTCTGAGCCTCTGGCTAGCTGGGCTCCTTGAGCAAGGGTGTTGCTTAACCTCTCTGAGCCCCACTTTTTCCTCATTTATAAAATGGACATAAGATAGCACTTATCCCATAATGTCATTGAAAGTATATACACCATATAAATGGTATAACACATAAATAGTGGCTGACACAGATTAATATTTAGTGAGTATTATATTATGGTCAAAGACTAACTTTTGAGGTAACAGCTTGATCTTGGGGTTTACTCTCATATCCTTACAGAAAAGCCCTTCCCACACCTACCAGTGATAGATCTGATTACCCTTAGGACTAAAGAATCTGAAGAGAGGATTAAAAGAACTGAATTTTTATTTTAAGAAAATGCAGTATGTGATTTTATTCACTCCTAGAACCAATTTATTGGGATGTTAGGGTTAGGCATTTGATCTTCTCCATATAGCTACAGAATAATACCAATGGCAAGGATGTGTAGAAGATGTGGGGCTCTCCTAGGTTACCGGTGGGAATGTAAAATGTTACAAACGCTTCGTTACATGTGCACTTCCCCTATGACTGAACAATTCTACTCCTAATATTTACCCAAGAGAAATTGGTGCATGTGTCCACAAAAAGTCTTATAGTGGAATGTTCATCACAGCGTCACTCATAAGAATCCCAAACTGGAAAAAAACGCAAATGTCCATCAACAGGAGAATGGGTAAATGAGTTAGAGTATATCCATACAGTGGTACACCACTTAGCACTAAAAGCAACAAACTACTGTTACACACAACATAGGGGATGAATCTCAAAACCATGTTGAAAAGGGGAAGCCAGGCACAAAAGAGAACGTATCGTGTAATTCTACTTATATGAATTTCAGGAGGAGGCAAAACTAATCATTGCTGCTAGAAGTAGAAGTTAGAGTGGTTGCCTCTGTAGGGACTGACTGGCAAGAGGCACAAGGAAGCTTTAAGGAGATGGACATGTTCTGTACCTTGATCTAGGTGGTGGTTGTATGGGTATATTCATACATAAAAAAGTAATTAAGCTATACAATTAAGACTTGTACATTTATTAAATCTTATACCTCAATTAAAATACATAAAGAGGCTAGATATCATATCTTTCCATTATTCTTATATATAACCTAATAATAACAATACCTAATATGTTATCTAATAATGATTGTAATTATGATAACGATACTGATAATAACCACTACTAACACTTAGTGAGGGCTTAATCTGTGGCAGGTATTTTCTAAGCACTTTTTATATATTAACTCATTTAATCTTCTCTTAACAGTCGAGTGGTTTTCTTATTTTCTTCCATTTTGCAGATGAGAAAATCAAGGCATGGAGATGTTAAGTTCACTTACCAAGGTTCCGCCACTGGCAGTCTGTGCAGATTCTGTGTTCTAACCACCAGGTAGCACTGCCCACGTCCATTAGCTCCTTCTCACCAACTTCTTTCCTTCCTGCTCAGAGACGTGCTGAATTTCCTGCGCTCCGGGGACCTGCCGCCCCGGGAGCATGTACGGGCTGTGTACAAAGAGGCCCAGTACTATGCCATTGGGCCCCTCCTGGAGCAGCTGGAGAACATGCAGCCACTGAAGGGGGAGAAAGTGCGCCAGGCATTTCTGGGACTCATGCCCTATTACAAAGGTGAGGGGTCAACTGCCCAGGGCAGACGGGGTGTGGGGAAGGAGGTTGCAAGGCTTCTCTCAGGACCTGTGTCTCTACCAGAACAGGTGGGTCCAAGGTTCGTCTGTATTACTCAAAATGAGAGAGAATCCTGCTTCTCTTCCTGCTCTCTCCTCCCAGTCACACTGGCAAGATTCAGGTTAAATAGAGCCCACCTTGCCTGTGACAGTCATCAAATCACATTTCAAAAGGATGGTCCTCATCCCATCCCATTGGTTTCCTTTCGCTGTGGAGAACAATGATCCCTGTTTAAGTTTGTACCCTTCGTAGGTCCACAGAGTCCCTTCCCCAGGAATCTGTCTCTTCCTTCTTGGGTCCTGCCATCACTGGGCCTCTCTTTTTGTGCCCTCCCACTGCGTTGCCCCACCCCCCATCTGCCAACCCCTGTCCCAGTGATGGGTGCTGTGTTCACCCCCGTAGACCATTTGGAGCGGATCGTGGAGATTGCCCGGCTGCGTGCGGTACAGCGGAAGGCCCGCTTTGCCAAGCTCAAGGTCTGTGTCTTCAAGGAGGAAATGCCCATCACCCCCTATGAGTGTCCGCTTCTCAACTCCCTGCGCTTTGAGCGGAGCGAGAGTGATGGGCAGCTCTTTGAGCACCACTGTGAAGTGGATGTGTCTTTCGGGCCCTGGGAGGCTGTGGCTGATGTTTATGACCTGCTGCACTGCCTGGTCACGGACCTCTCAGCCCAGGGCCTCATCGTGGACCACCAGTGCATCGGGGTGTGTGACAAGCACCTCATCAACCACTACTACTGCAAGCGCCCCATCTATGAGTTCAAGATCACATGGTGGTGAGTAGCCCTGGTAGGGAACAGAGTCCCGTCAGAAAGAGTGTCCATTCCCCTTGGTGGCTCTGGGAGTAAGATCCCTGGAAGGGCTGCTGACTGCCCCAGAGCCTGCTGAGGTGAGGACCGAGTCCTGAGGCACAGCTCCAAGTGGATGGAGGTGCAGCTCCCGTCTCCCCAGCTGTACCTCAGGGTCAGGCTCAGGGCTGGTGGCACATGGGGACTTGGTGCCTGCACTCACCTGGCCTTTCCTCCAGGCACGGCAGTCTCTGCCTGAGGCTGATGGGGTCTGGCTCGCTAGGGCTTGACCAGGAAGTCTAGAGAGGTTTTGTCACTTTTTTGACCTTGCAAGAGAGTTTCTACCCTTTTTAGAGCCACATTACCAAACTAATGTAGGCATGATTACTTCCTCAACCCTGTTCAAGTGTCTCTTTCCTGTGCTCAGTGTATAGGTCTGAACATAGAACATGATGGGGGATTTACCCGAGTAGCTACCCTACATCCCTTGGCTGAAGAAGGAACGTCTTCTCTCCCTTTTCCCCCAAGAATAGTCCCACGCTTTGATTTAGGATGTGGAAAGATTCTTTTCCTTCCTAAACATATTCTTCACCACCTTTTGGATATAAAATCATAGTTGCCAAAGCCATGCACCAGGTTGGCCTTAGAAAAGCACAATGTTTACAGCCCTGCCTCAGGGCCTTGGCTTCTCCTACCTTCCACCAACCTTCCTTGCTTGAAGGGTTGTCTTCTCACAGGGCTGGAATGCAAATTTCAGAGGCTCCTTTTGAAGATCCCCTAAGTCAAGCAGGCAAGATGCCTAGACCTTCTGTTATCCTCAAGATGTAACATCCTTTCTAGAAGCTCAGAATACCTCCTTGGCTGCCATTTCATGTGTTAGGATCCAATGTGTGGTGAACCTGCTTGGATGGGAACCCCCTCTTTAACCCCTGTTGCTGTATCCTGCTATCGTTCTCCTTCAGGAGAGTGTCTGTTCTGGAGAAGTAAAGAAAGGGCCGGGTGAGAGGCACAGCTATCCCAGGAGCTGTAGGAAGACAGCGGCAAACCTCCATTATGTTTTACTCCCCACATTTCAGAGAGAAAAAGATCCACAAGGTTCTCCTCCCATGCATTTCCTTCTTGCTCCGTCTGCAACCTGGGGCAGCTAGTTAGAGTATAGACGTGCATCTCCTAAAGGCAGAGCTGTGCAGCACCAGTAATTGGAATGTAGCGTTTCTGTGCTGCATCAGGGGCTTGTCCCTGTAATCACGATTGTACTTGACTGTTCCTGGGGGTTCCTGTAGGAAGATTTTTTTGTATGCAAAAACTGGTGATGACAGCCTCCTTGGTCTCGGTCTTACAAGACCAGCTTGGTGAGGTAGGGCAAGGGGGAGCTGAAGATGTCTGCATCCTTCTGAGGAGAAGGTCAAGCTCTGGGACCTTAGCTGAATTCCTTCACAGGGCAGTGACCTCCTGGCCCTGGTGTGGGAACAGATTCCAGGGCATGGTTTTGCTCTCGGATATTATATTCTTATATGCGTGGAGCAGAGGTGCAGACTGAGATCCAAGAGGAAAGAACAGTCAGTTGTTGAGGTTCCACAATATATGTTCTCTCTATTGTTCTCATCCACAAATGGATCGTCACCTTTTCTGGAGCTGATGTCGCTGCTTGGAGCTTAGCCCAATAGCATGACTCTTGCCTTACTCCAACAGAAAAGTCTTTCGTTTAAGTAGCTCTGATTGGTGTTACTGCCCAATGCAAGTTCATTTTTTGACCGACACTGAGGCAAGCTATTCAGGAGGAAGTCAGTGTGAATAGAGAGCAGATTGTTAATCCTAGTGCTTTCAGTAATCCAGCCTTGGCCCCTTCTCTTTCCCACCCCTGGCACAGAGCTTCACAGTGCTTGGTTATTTAGAGTCCATACATATGGTTCGCTCAAATGCAGGTTTTCTCAAAAACAGGCCCTGAAGACTTGCTTGGAGCTACAGGAACACTGGATAAGGTCGCTGTCCCTGTGCCTTTTGCTGGAGAGACCCCTGTTTGTCTCTCTCCTTACGTTGTCCTCATGGTGATATGCTCTGTGCCATTGTGGGGAGACAAGGCTCGGCGAGTAGACCAGGCAGAGCAGGGGCACTGGCAGCCAGCTTAGAGCTCTTTCTAGATGGAGTAAAACAATTTGGTGGCCCAGTTTGGCTGTTCTCTGAGGAGAAGCCAAGGGCAAGCTGAAAGTGCCTTTGGATGTGGTGGTTTATGGGATGGCCTCCAAATAAAGGTCGTGGCTGAGGAAATTCCCGGTTGGATCCCTTTTTGACTCTAAATGGCCAGGCCTAGAGCATAAGAAGGGTTGGGTCAGGAAGGAGGGCTCCAAAGGACGAATACTTCTCCCTGATGGAAAGGAAGTATGTTTTCGTAGAATTCTTGTGCATGATGTCGATGGGACAAACCAAAGTGCCTGCCTTTGAAGCTTCGATTATGTTTGACTTTGGGCACCTTTTCTCCCAGATGCCATGCTCCCTGGTTGGGAAGGTGAAAGTTTCAGGAGATAGGACTGTATGGTGCAATGCTAGCCGTAACAAAATTCAATGAAAATGAAAAACTTAATGGCAACAAAAAAAGATTGAAACAAAACCACAATGAAACGCATTACGCCATCCCAGGTGGAGGAATTCTTTGGGTAACACTCTAAATAGAAGAAATGGTGGAATCATCACAATCCTCATTCTGCCTCTGGTTAATTCACCAGGCTGTCCAGCGCTTATCATGTGGAAAGCAATCAACTGTGCTCTGAAAGTTTCTATTCTTTCTTCCTGGGGCTTAGGATATTCTGGGAGCCTTGTGCCTCAGGCTGATCAGGTGATATAATCTTCCTGTTGTGGGTTGCTTCTTGGAGGACTAGGAAATTGACATTTACAAGCCACAAAGTGGGGTGGGCCTCAGTGTGTGATCTTGGTCTAAGCTGGATCTTGAAGAGGTAAAGACAAACAACAACAACAAAACAAAAACTACTGATACTGAGCATTTTGATCCCAGTTAGAATTTCAGATATCATCCTTCTGCATACCTTCTGTCCATATTTGATTCTGATGTAAGTAATTAGGCTTTTTTCAGTACTGTTTTGCTGGGGCTCTTTCATGAAGCTGGTGCCTGCCTCATAATCCTTAAAAGCGGGTGGCTTCATTCATCAAAAGCTGGAGTGTTGGGAACTGCGGTGGGAAAGGCACTTTGGAATTCCGGAAGAAACATATATGTATACATATGTTAATTGGGGGAACAGTGGGTTGGCAGGGGTTGGAGGAGGTGGGAACAAAGACTGGGTGTAGGAACAGGCAATTGCCTCTGGAGTGTGGGAGGTCACCTGGGTCCATTGTCTTCCTTCTGTATGGTGTTGGGTTTGTGTACACAATATAACACTTCTGTGTTCGTTGATTACATGTCTGTGAGTGCTTTGGTGCATGGAGCCTCAGTACTGTCACACAGCATTAAAGTCAAGAATTAGAACCTGGGTGCTGTGCCTTTCTTTTTTAGAGACTTACTCTCATCCCTCCTCTGCCTCCCACTTTGCCAGCCAATGTGTCTTGATTTCTGCTTAAAATGTGGTATGTTTTGGCATGCCACACTAAATGAAACAGGCTCTTCCCTGAGACCAGCAGCTGAACTTCTGCCCTGACTTGACGTTAAAGGGGGATGTGCCCCATGAAGGCCCTGCTGCAGTTACTGTAGCCTTGTCTCTGTTCCAGGTAGGAGTGTGCCCACCCAGCCTGGGCAATCAGCTCTACTCTCTCTGTTAAGAGGTCTCCAGGGGAAGAAAATACTACAATTGCATAGTCACTTGTGTGGCTCATAACTGTGTCAGGTAGTTCTAAAGGAAATCCCTCCTGTCATATCACCACTTCTTTCCAAGGGCGAGAAAAGTGGCTCTAAGCTTATGTGAGCCTCAGTGGTTAAGACCCTTCCTTGAGAAAAATGGACATAAGTTGCCCTTTCTCTGAAAGCAGAGTTTGACGTCCTCCTGGCTAATGAGTGTCCTCATCAAGATGCCCCTTGGAGTCACTTCATGGATTAACCCAGAAAGGTGAGTTCTGAAGTGCTTGCTAGCTGTGCCACCCTCCAGCTGCTTCCCTTAAATCTCAGATTATTCTGACTTTTAAACAAAAGCACTGCATCATCTATGCCAAATGTATTCCCTGACCTAATTACTGCTCATACAGTCACATAGTAGTAATACACTAATAATACCTTACAAGTTGAAACTGAAGCTTGTTGGGGTGTAATTTCCCCGAGGGCACATAGCCAGTAAGTGGCAGAGCCAGGATTCAAACCCAGAGCCCTTTTCTGAAATCCTCAGGGGTGTTCAGCAGCAGAGCCCTCCATTCTTGGCAGCTCAGTGTCCCACCCCTAAGGCTCAGGGCTTCACTCTGCCTAACCTGTGAAGATTTGAAAAACAGATACTTTAGAAGGAATATTAGAAAGACTTCCTTAGAGGTGTAGGTCTTAAGTAGCCCCTGAGCATTAAGGAGATAGATGATGTCCCCAATTTACTGCCCTTCTTAATGAGGGATACGTGTCCACTAGGTGGAGAAGGGCCTTGCTTGTGGGGCACTGAGTGGAGGATGACTGAGCGGGTGAGTAATGGCTCCCTGGCTGGACTCTGGGTGTGGTGGGATGGTCCAGGACAGCCCGAGTTAATCAGACTCCTGCAGCCTATAGATCTAATCATGCAGAGATGCTGTGCAGGCTGATCCCGTGGGGAGGTGTGCCCAGGCCATGGCCCTCCTTCAGTGACCGCTGGCATCAAGAGACTAATTGAATGGGAGGCTCTTTAGTTTAGCTCAGGGGACGTTGTGTACCTGGCTTGGGGTTCATGGCCCTTGGACTCTGGGTCTCTACCCTGCCCGGGTGTCCCTTTGTCATCATTTTGAAGATGGGCCCTTAGCTGGCTTTACCTACTTTTCATTTTGATTTAACTTAGAGCATGTTCCTTTAGCTTTTAGTTACTTACCTTTAACTTTCTATCCTTTGTTTCCTTACCATTTTGTTTTTCCTGTAATGTACTTTAGCTTTCTCTATTTTTACACTATTTTAAACTTTATTTCTGACATAACTTTTAAATAAAGCACATGAGGGGCCCGCCCCGTGGCTTAACGGTTAAGTGTGCACGCTCCGCTGCTGGCGGCCTGGGTTCGGATCCTGGGCGCGCACCGACGTACCGCTTGTCAGGCCATGCTGTGACGGCGTCCCACATAAAGTGGAAGAAGATGGCCATGGATGTTAGCCCAGGGCCAGTCTTCCTCAGCAAAAAGAGGAGGATTGGCCTGGATGTTAGCTCAGGGCTGATCTTCCTCACAAAAAAAATAAATAAGTAAATAAAGCACATGTATGAATAGGATGCCAATGAAGTTAGTTCTTGTTCTGAGCAAAGGTAATTATGTGCTTTTTTTTTCTGCTCCATTCATTTCCGTAATGATCTTATTAGCTGTGAACATTAGATACCTCATTTCTCCCCTAGATGAATATCTTCTAAAATCTAAGTAACAAGGAAAAACTGACAGTGTTATTATGAAGGTCATAGATCTGGGTTATCTACTAGATCCAATGGCCCAATTTTACCTCTCCCTCCAAAATGCACCCCCCAACACACATGCACACACAGACACAAAATAGCAGTAAGTGCAGCCTTAGGAACAGGGCAGTTCCATTCCTGGGCTGTTAAGGACTTCTTCCCTCACACACTTGTTCTTCCTGAGGAATGACATGATCAGAGACCCTGGGATTCCACCTCCTCCAACCACCCGACACCAAGTGGAAACAGGACTATTGGGCACTGGAAAAAATCCAACACAGCTGTGGGAAAGACTTTGAATTGAACCATCCAAAAGCACTCCATAAAAGGGGTCTGTAATCAGATTATTATGCATCTTTTCCAGCCTTCTGTAATCTCATAGCAACCTGATTCACCCTTTAACAAACAGTGACTTTTAGAGGATTCTCCTAATGTGTCACAGACCCTGATTTCTTTCCTATGTCATGTGATCTGGCAGATGGCCCAGCTCCGGTAGATCTTTGGAATAGATATATCCATACTTCCCTCAGTTATTACAAAAAAATCAAGAAATAGAGCCCCAAAGCACCACAAAACTTGGAGCTTGACCTCCATTAAAAGAAACTTACAAATTGAGAGTCAAGTTGAAGAGATTTTCTGTATACCTTTGCTATTTTTGTGAAAGGAGTAAGATGATGTCACGAGTAGGCTTAAGTCCCTAGAATGTCTATCAGCCTCCATAAATGCCTTTATTAATGTGTTTCTCAATATTACATCCTGATCACTAGCTATACTTTAGCTTACTCTGCCCCAGGGGCCCATCTGTGTGCACATGTGGTGGGTGTTTACTGCCCTTATTCTCACCATGTCATCTCTACCCCCCCACTCTGCTCATCACTGTCCTGTCTTTGGCATTTTAAAGCTGGTTGGCCACTTCTGACCATGCCTCATCCAACATTTTACCAGATGTTGCTTTGCCCAGGACTGCCCACTTTTTATTCTCAGGCAGGTAGGTGCTCTCTGCACTGAGGTCCCCAGCTTTCCAGTTTAGCTTTCTCATCTGGCCTGCTAGGATTTGGAGAGCATTTTCAGCCTTCTCTAAGCTCTGTATCTACCTCCACACTGGCAGCAGAGGATGCCTGCAGGACCCCATTGGGCAGACAAGTTAGTTTCACTCTCCCCTATCTCAGGAAGGGAGAATCGAAATACTTTTTCTGGAAACCAAGTTCACCAAGAGCTTCCTAACAAAAATATGAACTTCCCTTATGAGCTGACCACATCACTATTAGCTGAATTGAAGGAGGCATTATTCACTTGGCACTCCCAGAAGTCAAGGCAGAACGTATGTATCTGTTTCCAGACATATTCAAGGAATGTTCCACCCAATTGCCTAATTTTATTCTTCAAAGTGCATCTCTATTTGGAAACTCCCATTGGTCCAGAGAGGCGGAACGTTGAGGAATCCGCTCTGTAGTCACCTGCAGGAATATTCCACCACTTCCATAGGCTGAGCCTTTAGCCCAGAGGATTCCACTAGGGTGGGGTTTATCACTTGACTTTGAACCCCTGTCAGTGCTGTTCCCTGCTGGGGTGGCATCCTGACCAGCACCCGTTTATGGCAGCAGCACCCCTAAGACAGCCTGGATTTGTGGATTGAGATCCAGAGTCAGAATTCCCAGATAGTCTAACAAAGGTATCTGTATTATAACGGACAAGAAAGTGATGTTTCTTAGGTGGAAGGCTTTCCATATACTCAACTGTGCCCCAGGATTTCTGGGTTTATAGGCAGTACTAGCCATTTGTTCATGACCCTCGACTTCCTCACTTGACCATTCTATCTTTTTTAAGAAGTAGGTTCATCTGATCCCTTGCTAAGGACCCAGCATTCCAATAGCTGAAAACTCTGTACATCTTTTTTCCTATCCTGGTCTTACACCACCAAGACACACTTCAACACTTTAGTAGGAGTCACAAAAAGGCAAGAGCACGGGCAGCCTCTGTCCCTTGTTTCTACATGTTCATGATTGGCTGAGGCGAGCAACCCTTGTGGGTGTGAGAGTTGCAATATAATCAACAGATTCAAGGTCTAGAGGCACCATTTGAAAGAACCCCTTCAGGGATGTCTGTCCACTGCAGCCTGGAGCAGTCAAGGTGAACCTGGGAGCTTGGTCCACACAGTGAGGGTGGGCCATGTTTTTCAAATATTTTGGCTTCAAAGGTGCTCTGTTTTGTATGCAAGACCCCAAGAGGCCAGCGGAGGAGTTCCAGCTCTGGTTGTAGCTGACTGAGAGAAGCCACTGCAAGCTGCAGGTAGGTCCCCATGTGCAGCAGAGGCCCACCAAAACCCAGAGCTTCCCAGAGTGGACACGACAGGGACTGTGTCCTCTAACAACGGCTGGCTAGTGTGCCAGGAGGAAACTGAACTCGGGTGCTCCTTCTCCACCCTGTTGCCATCCATGTACCTTTACATCTCACCCATTCAAAATGGAAAATAACATATAGAGACTTCTTGGGACCTTACATCTGACATATCGATCTGTAGGGTCTCCTTGGGTGATCTTCCCTGAATTGCATTTAGAGTCATTTGTATTAGGAGAAAAAAACCCACAAAGTAATTTGAACAGTTTATATCCTTAATATAAATAACTATTAATTATAGGGTTGGAGTAATGGGAGATTGGCTAATAAAGAGTAGCAATAACCATAAAGAATACAGGAATAGTAGATATAAGAAGCAACCACTGCCCTTAGGGCTGAGATAAAGGGTACAAGGAAGAGCACTCGCCCCTCCCCCCAGAGCTGATATCCAGACATTTTTGGAGAGGACATGGTCATGGTTCACTGAATGGCAAAGAAGTCACTGGGGTGCTGTGCTGTTGGAATTTGCTGGAAATCCACCCTCTAATGTGCTGGGACAATCTGTTCATGGGAAGGTGACTTGCCAGAGGCACTCCACTAAAAAACCAGGCAAGGGGAGTGCTGGGGAAAACTGCTGGCCTTTCTGTGCTGTTGACTACCATGCACTACAGGAGCTGGGTGCTAGAGAAGTTATATGTGCTGTGAGCAAGCACACCAGAACCAGAAAGGAAAATATCTTTTCTCTTGCAGTGTCTCACCAATATCCTCTACTAATAAAGCTTAATATCATGTGAATTGGCAAAGGAAAAAATATATAAAGGTCCCAACCCAGTTTTTGCAGAGGCAACAGAGGATGAATATGGAACTAAGAGGCAATAACTGGCACGTCATCTATGTGTTAATGACTCCCAAATTTATACTCCTGCCCAGGCCTCTCTCCTCAACCTTGAATTATACACCCAATAACCTCCTAAATATTGATACTTCAATATCTATTAGCCACCTCAGATTTAATACTTCTAAATGGAATTCTTTATTTCCCCTCCCTACCCCAAACATCTTCCTCATGCCATTTTTTCTATCTCAGGAAATGGCGCCACCATCCACCCAGTCAACAAAAGCCTGAGAATCATCTTTGACTCCCCTCCTTACCTCACCTTTGACTTGCAATCCGTCACCAAATACTTGAATCCATCTTCAAGATGTATCTTGAAAACATGCACAAATTCACTTGTCTGAATCACCATCATCTTTCACCCTGCATTACTACAAAGGCCTCTTGGCTTAATTTGGCCCTTGATTGCCCTCTCTAATCTGTTCTCCAGAATAGTCTTCTGAAAGGGTTGATTAGGT